TATAAATTTATTTTTTTGTTTTTTTTTGTATTTTTTTATTTTGTGTGTCCGAAAATTGTGTGTTAAAATCTGATATGCAGCTGGAGAATGATCGAAGCTGACTGAGCTGGGCCTGGGTACCACCCCAAAATGTCCCTGACACGTAATCCAGGGAGTTCTGTTCGGCTCGTTTCTTTTCTTTTCTATTGTATTCTGTTTCGTATCGTACTATACATAAGGTTCACACTCATAAACCAATTGACTTTCTAAGCGTCAGCGAATATCACAAAAAAAAAAAGGCTGACACCAGAAAAAAAACGAAACAGCCAAAAAAAATTGACAGCAAATTTCGGTGGAAAATGCCCCGAAAAAAAAACCGGCAATTTAATGGTAGAGAAAGGAAAAAAGGATTTGCTGGGGTTAGAATTCGCGCGAAATTGCATCTTTTATGGCGGGGGTTAGGGTTATTAGGGTTAGACCTAACCCTAGCCATCATAAGCCTAACCCCAGCCCAGCCCAGCCAAGCCCAATGCTGTCACCGTTGCTTGCTGTTCCCCGTGCAGCCGGACGACGACTAGACTACCTGCCCCGCCCTTTTGGGCCCCTAATTATGTCATTTGGGCGTAAGTCAAGGCTGCAAAGTCAATTGCAGAAATTGCATTATACAACGGCAAAAAAAAATAAGTGTCGGCCAAAAATGCCATAAAAATAACTCTGCAATGTGTATAAAAAATATGTGCAAAAACAATATATAAATGGGGTGGCTAGTGGCTGGGCTAGAGGTCGCAAAGGTGAGAGGTGCAACGGCTGGACAGGCGGGCAAAGGAACCAGCGGTGATGGCTCTATCGATGCTGATCCAGATTGGGTTCGGAAAAGCGTTTTTTCTTGCTGTTACATATCTATATCTATGCTGCTTTGAGCAGTGAATATAATTAATAAACTTATTACTAAATTGGAAATAATAAAAGCAGATTCAGAAATTAAATGCAACGATTTCTCCTCGATGTACATACATATGTATATGTTCCTTTAGAGAGGATTCAACTGGCAGACCTTTGGTTCTTTTTAATGATTACAGGATACCTTTTATTGTTGGCATTTAATGCCACTTAAGAAGTAAGGTCTGCAAATATAATCACTCAACAAAAATCATTAAAAATTGTAAAATACTATGGGCTTAAGGGCGATGTAAACCCTTAAGTGCGATATGTATCTGCAGTTACAGCAAGCAAATTATTATTCAGTACACACTCGTAATAACAAAAGTAGCAACAGTGTAAAACTCCCATTAAATTTCATGTAGCTTTATTTTCAACAAATCAATGAAAATGTCGACAGCTAAAATTATGAAAGTGCGCAAAAAACGCAAAGAGCGCATTTTGAATTATTCAAATAGATTTTGGGTGTTAATATTTTGAATACTTATTATGGGTATGAGGAGGTGCTCTACTCGTCCGGGCATACAGCATTATTTTTGTCTAGTGCAAAGTACAAAAATTCAGTTATATTGTTGTCAATTTTCTGGACCTACTACTGGCTGCAATTGCATTTTTCCTACCATTATGTTAAGTGACCTAAGATATATGAAATGAACTTTCTCAGACTACGAAATACCATATTAAATATCTCTGCTTTTGGATATGTGTATGTGGAAGCCCTAACTCTGCCTAAAGACACACTTTTTTTGCTCGCACTTGGACTTTAAATTGTCGCAGAGACAATTCCCCCAGTCTGCTTAAAGAGTTGTGACAACTGATGGAGTGCTCTTGCAGCTGAGGTACATAAATATATAAAATATATACATACATACATACATATACATACAATTCGCTTAAAACATATTTGAAGTGAGTTTCGGTGCTTCCCGCCATTTAGATTTCTCTCCCGCACCCCGCACCCCGCACCACACACATTTTGGCAGTGTTGTTGTCGGTGTCCAGGACAATTTGCCTGCAATATTGCGTTGACAGCCACGAGAAATAATAGCCCAACAATTTATGGAATTTATGGGTTTGTGTATGTGTGTGTGTGTGTGTGAGTGTGTTGCAGAGGGGCGGGTTGCGGGTGGGCAAGGGTTACCAAAAAAAATGTGTGTAGCATACTTAAGCGGGCGCAATGCTTGCTGTGGGTGGGTGGCTCTGGGTGGTGGTTGCTTCAAAAGTGGAAAATAAAAAACCAGAGAGAGAGAAGAGAAATCACAGCCGAAAATCATAAATTCGGCATGTCTAATGACAATTTGCCTGACCCCCCACCCCGCCTACGTGTGTGTGTGTGTGTTTCATTTTTATCGTTTTGATTTTTTGATTTGCCCTTTGCCCCCCCTACCACCCTGCCCTTCTCTGCTTCTTTTTATGTGAGCACATAAAATTCGTTTGTTGTTCGAATTTTAGGATTTCATAACATGTCGGGGGCCAGGCCGACGCCACGGACCGCAGACCAATTTGAAAATGACGCAGCTCCCAGCAAAGCGAAACTCAATGCAAAACCCCCCGCCCACCATACGTTCCACTTGCCATGTGGCCGCAGAGTGGGGCAGCAGAATGCCCCTGGCGTAGCTACGTTTGCATCTCTTGGTTAATGAGAGAGCGAAAATTTGAAATATATTTGCAGCTCTCATCGAAGCATTAATGCGAATATTTATGCGCAAGACTTCAAGGAAATTTAGCAAGTAAAGAAAATGCAATGCAGCAATTTTTAATTAATATTTTGTTATGCTTTCGCTTCTGTTGTGTGTGTTTCCCAGATAGATATCAGCTTTTATTCCAAAACAATTATTTTCACACACATTTAAAATACAAATGTAAAACTTTTATATAAATAAATAAAAATATAAAAATATAAAATTGGCAGAAATATACGGCACTGTTTCCGTGGAGCAACAATAATTGCAAAAGCTTTGGAAATTAAAAATTAAATTGACATTTAACTGGAGCCAGGCGCATGCCTTAGTAGAGTTTAACAATGGAAATATTCGTTGAATGTTATTCCTAAGTCTGAGCCTGCAGCCAGCTGCCAAAAAATGTGCCAGCGGGCTAGGACTAGGGGTTGGGGGGTGCCTAGGGGTTTATGAGGCTTGCAAACGGCTACCAAAATGCCAGACGCATCCGCAGTATAAATCAAGCCAAGAATGAGGATCTCTCAAACACTGTTGATCCCATTGTACTGGCCACTGGCATGGCATGGCATGGCATGGCATGAGGATGTGGATGAGCTGCCATAACTCATCTAGAGACTAGCACTTGGGCCACTGTTCTGGCAAATGAAGCAATCAAGGCCAAGCAGAATGGTAACAGCCATTCAGTGGCATTGTGTTCACAGTCCACACAGTCCTTGGTCCATGGTCCTGTGTAATTGTTGTTTAGTCTGAGGCAATGATGTCACCACACACGGAGCTGAAGCTAGAGCCGGAGCTGTAGCTGAAGCTGAAGCTGTGGAGTCGTGGTCGGGTAGTCAGTGTCAGAGTTAGCCCGCTGCTCAATGTCGTTTCCTCTTCCTGTATGCCTCTCTCTCTGCCCTCTCATTGTCTCATTTTTGGTTCAGTTCGAGACGTTTTACGATTGTTTACTGCTGCTGCTGCTGCTGCTGCTTCTGCTGCTGCTGAATAACCCCAAACCCCGAAATGAGAACCGAACCCATTGTGGCCAGGGCACTTTAGGTCTGTCCGTCCGTTCATCGCTCCCTGGGTCGCGTGGGTGTTCCAATCCTCGCTCGCTTCACATCGCATTTAAGTCCCGATAAATACGCATTTGATTTGGGTCCGGCATAGCACACATCAGGGCAGCAGATAATAGAAATCGAATCGAATCGGTTCAACTTATTAAATCAACCCTTTGGCCCTTTTGCCTTGCCTGCTGGCATCCCCTCTCCCCTCTCACCCCTCTCACCCCTCCCACCATACACACCCGATTACTGTTTGCCCAAACTATTAGCCCGGAGTCCAGGGATTTGCGGCCACTGGCTACTGGCCACTGGGGGGTGGACAAAAAATAAAGCAGAGTGACATAAAAATAAGCATAAAATTAAATGTGCCACATTGGATTGGGGATTGGGGATTGGATTGCCCCATCCCCATCCAATCCAAGCCGGACCCCAAAGGCGCACAGAAGGGTGGAGCGGGTCCACGTGGAGCGTTTAAGTTGATTTCGTTTTGAATGTTTATTTTATTGCGTGGAAAATGACGCCAACGTGGCCAAGAAATGGTGCCGCTCGAGCTCTGCTCCGACTGCTGCCTGCTGCTGCTGCTGCTTGTTATCCCCACTGCTCTGGACCAAGTCTACTACACTGACAGAAAAACTGCCTGCGAAATGCATTTGGTACAGGCTTAGACTCCCAGGGACTCCCTAAAGGTGGGTTGGGGGGCACTTTTGCTGCTCACAGTGTATCTGCTCTGCCTGTGACTACGTGAGCTGCCATAGATGGCATGGCCATAGCCATAGCCATAGCCATGTCCTGGGCTTGGCTTGGCTCCAGGGCCTCCAGTCGCTTTTATGGCCCCAGCGATTGTATCGAGAATTTCGTACGCAATAAAATTCAAATATACTTGCGATAAAAATCAAATCTTGTTGGACATTTGCTATCCTCCCCCCCCCCCCCCCCTCCATCCATATACACCATTTATCCACCAATTAAACTTCTCTGCTTACTCAATTGGGAGTATCCCATTGCGGCTGTTATGCTGCCACATGCCATATGTCTGTCTGTAAATATATACATACTACATATACATATGTATTAGAATCCAAGTCATACGTGTGTTCATGTGTGTGTGTGTTTTGGCAGTACATATATGCTGAGTGGAAAATTCTATGCTCTGATTTATTAATTGTGTTGCAAGCGAAAGTTATGCTATGTGGCACGCAGAACGCCACCCTCAGCTACTTTCTTTTGGCATCTATTACGCACCTACTCGAATATTAACTGGCTTTGATTTCTGTGGCTTTTCTTCAGTGCACATTTCACGCTTTTTTTTGTGAGCCTGTGGCAAATCTATTTCTGTCGGACCGTGGTGGATTTCTCTTACCTTGTCTTGGCCCGCAACTGCAGCGTTTTATTGAAGAGCACTGTGTATATAATGGCTAACTCGGAATTAAACTAATTGAATATATTTACGACGGTCTGTGCAATTGAAGTGAAATTTTCTAGTTATCTGCAATTAATATTTCTGCACAGCAAGCAAATTGATCGTCAGTGTTGTGCAATGCAAAAATTGAGAACTGTGCTTTCATTATCGAAAAACTATCGGCATTCAATTGACTGTACATTTATTACTAAGCTATAAGCTGCAAAACGGCACTAAAATTAATTTAGAAAACGCTAATTTCCTTTATTTTAAAGTTTGTTTAACTTATTTTATGCTTAAAGCTACTAAATACAGAAATAAAAAGATTTGGTCCCATCACTAGTGTTTACGTTAACATGCGAATGGTCACAGCTGTTGGATTGCCACGTTTGTGCATTTATTTTTACAAAGCTAAGCAATTAAATGTGTGTCACTGAATAAAAAATGGAAACATATTGCCAATAGGAAGTGCAACAAAGCGTGGAATGGTAGAACCAAGTTCGTGGATCGTGAATCGTGGCAGAGCAACAGCAGAAGAAGAAGTGCCCGGGTTTTGAGTTTGTTTCTATTTTGGTTTATAAGCAAAGTTTTTGAATTCTTGTTAGAGCCAATATGAAGTTTATTAGGAACACGAAGCTGCCGCAGGAAGTGCCGCGTTCGAAGGAGTGTCTATTGCAATCTGGTCGGAGACTGCAAGGTGCCAGGTGCAAGGTGCTTGGTATTGGAAGCTCGCTGGTAGCTACAACTGGCGGACTTGGTAAGTGGATTTCTATATGCACATCTACGTACATTAACATTTGCCATTAAATCATTGCTTTTGTCTTTAGCTTACAATGTGAGGAGCTACAACAGATTGTTAATTATCATTAATATTATTAATATACAATTGAAATTGGAACCAAAGCTGTAAACCAGCTCTCAGCTGCAATAGCCAGATAAAAGCAACGAGCATCTGTGTGTAAGCCCTTGTGGGATTCAAATTAGTTTTTGCAGTCACTTCGGAGCATTGGCAGGGGCTGTACCTATATTGAATATGCTAATGTAAAGTTTGATTTGTGTTTGGTTTCATTTAAGGACGGCTCCAGTGGCTGCTGCACTGATGCGCAGCACAAAATGAATGGATTATGGCAGAAATAATGGTTATTCCCTTTCCACATGCATCTGCATCTGCCCTCCATCTGAGAATGGTTTCAGTCAGTAGAGATTTTGGATTTTGGATCCCCACAAGGGGCAACAGTGCAGGGACTTGAAGGAGCATTACCATGGTACCATTGACTATAAAAATACATGCACGAATATCTGTGCAGATGTGTTAATATATTTAATATTTAATATTATTTATTTATTGATTGATTTTTGCATATTTTGTGAATAGCAAAATTTGCTGCAATGCCCGATCGAATATTGAACCAAGAAAAGGTGAACAAAAAATCAAATGTGCAAGAAATGTGAAATCAATTTTCATGGCTTGGCGACATCGACATCGACATCGACATATATGTGTATATAAAAGGATCCGCCGACACCGCCAGTCGTCGGTGATTCCGGGAAAGTGACCAACTGCGGTCAGTGATAGGCGGCTAAGCGCTGACTGACGATAGCAGAGGGAACCTCTCGTAGGTATACTCCTGGCCACGTACAGAAACAAACACTAAACACTAATGAAGTGCTCTGGAGGGACTGACTGCAGCTAAGGGACACCCCCAGCGGCCCCGGGGCGTTGTCGGATGCATTTGGCAAATAAAACACCTACCGACACGGCACGACAAGAGCGATAAGCAGAGAGCGAGACAGAGTGACAGTGACAGTGGGAGAGGAGTGATGGGAGGGGGACTCAGCGTGTCGTCCGGCATCATGACAAAGGACAACTGCAAACTACACAGAGTCCAGTCCAGTTCAGTTCAGTCCAGTCCATAGGTCGAGGCAAGTTCTCCTTTGCCAAAAAAACAAAAAAAGAAAACCAGAAAACAAAGTGCGCAGTGCCCAAACAGTAGGAGCTCTGCGCTGGCCTGGCCAGGCCCGAGACTCCTTGGACTTGGCTTGAACGCAGTTGGAGTTGGAGTTGGCTTGGACTAGCTGTCGCTGTCGCTATCGCTGCAGGGCAATTAGAACATTATCAGGCGGCAATAATCGGCTCGTTTGCACCCAAGTGTCGTCGTGTCGTCGTGTCGTCGCTCGACTGCGAATGCGACTCCGTTCGCTGTCGTAATAATAAAAGGCATCGACATGGACATGCACATTGGACATTGGACATTGGCAATCTCTGTCTCTGCATTCTGCTCTCAATATCTTGTGGAGTGCATTGGCTGGAAAACACAACAGGATATCCATCTGTATATGTGTGCATGTCTGGTCTATCTGGGGAATGTCTTTTGTTGCCCTACCCATACAAAACCATTTTTCAAATGCAATGCAAACCAGCAGAGCAGCAGTGCAGCAGAGCAGCAGAGCAGCAGATAGGCAGGCGACAATGTCGAATGTCGGCGACAGTCGGGGGGCATCAAAGTCGATTATCACAGTTTTTGGGATTTGCCTTAAATCACGCACCAGTCGGCAGACGGTAGACAGCAGTCGGCAGTCAGCCGTTCGGGATCTGCTCGGGGCTACAGCTCAATTAAAATTCTTGGAATACGCTCAACACTTTTCCAAAGTGTTCCCCCCGCCCTCCACTGTCCAGTGTGTGTCTGTTTTTGTATCTGCTCGTCTGCACAATATTTTCGAGGCGGTTTTGTGGTTTTTGATGTTCCGTTTTCCCCCTCGACTGCTGCCGCTGCTAATCTGCTAAATTAATGATAATGCGCGCGGCAAAGTCGTAAATATTACAGCACCAGCAGCAGCAGCACCATCAGCAGCAGCAGCAGGAGAATGTCTGACTGACCATTGTCCGGACCGAACCGAACTGAACCGAACTGAACCGAACCGGAGCAGAGCTCAGAGCGCAGAGCCCTAGCCTTGTGCTGTCCTGCTCTGGGAAGCATTCAAATCCAGCAAATCTGCCGTCTTAGTTCTAATTCTTTTCACACTCCAGCGCAGGCCCCTTGACATGTCAGGGGATTTGGGGCGGCTAACTTGCAGTTGGCAAGTCAGTCGTGCAGGGCGAGGGTTGGGGGATGGGAATGGAAAGGGAATGGGAATGGGGGATTAGCCAGCGCCATGTCATTCAATTTGAATTTGCATGAGCAGACTGAAGCCCAGCCTGGACCTTTTCCAATGGAAAGATAGCGCGGCAATCGCATGGGACATGACTTGACGTGACTTGACTTGACTTGACCTACCCCCAAAGATCATCAACGGATGCGAGGCATGCGCAGTGATCTCTACTCCATACCGCCCCCAAAAAGCGGGGCAGCAGTTGACCCACTGAGTAGCTGAGCAGCGGCCATATTTACCGACGGATCAAATGTGGGGTATGTGGTGGGGTGGGGGGTTGCTTTGGGTGCCCAAAGGGTTGCTACATTAGATGGTGTTGAATATTTGATAGTGGTGTTGCAGAGGGTAGAGCATTTATGGCGCATATTAAAATAATAAAAACTAAAATAAAAATAAAAATAAAATTATTTATAAATAAATAATTAAATACAAAATATATTTATTTATATTGTAAATAAAGTATGCAATTAATTAAAATATAAATAATAAACTTAAAAAATTTTAATATTTCAATTATAAATAATAAGTTAACAAATTTTAATATTTATATTTTAAATAAATAAATAAATATTGCTGATAGCTGGAGTCTATTTTGCAGCATATCATTTTGATGCCACAACCTCCTGGACTTAATTCAATTAAATTATATTATATTTATTTACTTAATATTAAAACCTATGTATATATTTATTTATTTATTTTATTTGTGCTTAGGTTATATTTTATATTTTTTATATTTTATATTTACTTATTATTAACACCTATGTATATATTTATTTATTTTATTTTATTTATGCTTAAATTATATATTATATTTTTACATGCTATATTTAATTATTATTAACACCTATATATTTAATTATTTATTTTATTTATGCTTAAGTTATTGCCGAAACATCTGCAGAGTATTTTTGCAGTTCCCAAGTTCCCCTGCCGTTGGTTTTGGTGTTTTCCTTTTCAGTTGTTTTTGGCAGTCTGGCTATGTCTGGCTGTGCGTGGTCCTCCTATGTCCTGGCTGTCCTGCTGCTGTGTCCCTGTGTCCCTGTGTGTTGTATGTGTCACTTGGTTGAGCTGTGCCACACACACATTACTGAGCTGGGTTGCTGCCTCCTGGTGCCTCCTGCTGGCCAAAGCCAAAGTCCAAGTCCAAGTCCAGCCGGCCAGCCAGCTGCCATGTGACGATGGCAATTTGCATTTACAGCGGGTGGCTGTGGGGTGTGGGGTGTGGGGTGTGGGTTAGCCTCGTGTTAGCCACTGGGTGACAGACATTAAATAATTAACTCTCATGTATCATTTATAAGGATGCAGAGCATCCGCTCCCAGGGAGTGGAAAGGGAAGTGGGAAGGGGAGTGGGAGTCTGTCAGCACACAGAGACAATGCCAAGTAATCCCCAAAAGAAAACATTTAACATACGTAAGTAGCAATTGAATTAAAAACCAATAATATCAACCAACCAACGCAAAAAATAACAAGCTCCACAGGGACAGCAAGAGAGACATGCAAAGTGATTGGGAGTGGGAGGAGTGGGAGGACAGGGAGGACTGGGACTGGGACTGGGGGACCCTGTAATCGGAACATGTGTAGAGATATTTATTTAACAAACATTGCGAAATATCAAGAGCGAAACCAGAGGCACGCAGCGAGCGCACAGGAAAGGCAAAGGCAGGGCAAAGGCAGGGCAACGGCAGGGCAAACAGGCGAAGGTACATCGAAGTGTAGGCAATGGGACAAAGGGACAACGGGACAATCGAAATGCGATTGGTGGATGGGGCAGAGAGCACACGATGGCAAATCAAAGGTGAAAAGATGTGAAAAGCAAACGGAACGTGCACCGGTAGCATTTAACCCATGCTCCAGCCATTGCCAGTGCCAGTGCCAGTGCCCCGCTCCGCTCCGCTCCGCTCCGATCCGTGCCCATCTTGCCAGCCATCTCCCAACCGGGAGCCGGGCGTAAGCCGCTGCTGGGACACACACATGACGTATTGGCACGAGTCCCTCAGCAGCGAGGCTGCGAGGTTGCGAGCAGCTCTGTTCTGTCTCTCTGTGTGCTGCCTCCCGCCCGCCCACCTGCTGCCCTGCTCTGGGGGCACTTGAAAGCCCCGGTCGTATCTTGATTGTTTGCATGTAAATCTGCACAAAATCCCCAAAGTACCCAAGTACCCGGAGTACCCAAAGGAAGTGGAGACAGAGAGACAGAGACAGAGAGCGAGAGTCCTTGTTGGCTGCCACCGCCATGCCATCCATTCGACAACTGGTTCCCCCACCGCCCCCACGTATCGTTACCCCAATGCGGAGGTGTAGCTCACACCATCATCATCATCGGCACCATCATCGTCATGATGGCCTTGGCGCATCGTTTGCCACTGCTCTGCATCGCTCAGCATCTCACGGCATCTCCAGGCATCGTGGCAATCCCCTTGCACAATTGAACCGGGCGCCAGTGTGGGCGGCGAGTTACCTGCGCCACTTTGGCCAGGTGGTTCGTGCCTTCTGCTCTGCAGTCCACTCTGACGACTCTGGCGACTCTGGCTATACCCTGCTGCAGTTCCAATATATTTCTATTTATTCTACATCTATTATTTTATTTTATTTCTTGCTACCCCCAAAACCTTTTGGTCTTTCCCTCTTTGTGTAGCGTCTTTGGCTATTTCGCATGGCGGAACTTTTCATTCCCCTGTCAGCGCACTCTCCCAGCAGCTTTTATTGATCCCCTCCCTGCTGCCACACTGCGGGGCCAATTTTCCGATTTTCTACGATTTACTCGCTCGGTTTTTTTTCCGCTTCAGCTTCTGGCAGGGAGTTGCTCCCTCTGCTCCCTCTGCTCCTTCTGCTTCTTCAGCTGGCTGTTTTTTTTTTTTTGTTTGCTGTTCAGGCAAGGCTTTGGCTTAAACTGCATTTATTGGAATTTCACAATAAACTAACGAAGCTTCAGCGGCAGCGGCAGGATGCTGCTGCTGCTGCAGGAGGAGGAGGAGGAGGAGGAGGGAACAGATAGGCCAAAGCCAAACCATGGCATTTGTACAAGTTTTTGGTTTGGTTTCGGCCCTCCCCAGAGGCGCGTCGTCATACACGACGTATGCTTGATATGTGCCATCCCTCAGACGACTGGGGGCCCCCAGCCGCCATGTGACCATTCGAACTGATTCCCCCGTGAAGGATGTAATTAAAAAACGGCAACATCAACAGCCTCCACAGGGTACGAGGCGGGCAGCACACAAAAAAAGACACACAGAGAGAGAGAGAGAGAGAGAGAGAGAGAGAGCTGCAGCCTTGTAAACTTGCTGCACACGACACTCGAAGTTGGCACACCAGTGAAAGCAGCTCCTGCTCCTGCTCCTGCTCCATCCATCCGTCCATCCGCTCATCCAGTACGGGGAGGGGCAAATCGATGAGCGGAGGGAGCGGGGAGTGGGCGGTGCACACAAAGCCAGCGACGGCAATCTCTAACGATATCCATAGCTCAAAGCCAAATCTCTGCACAAACAGGATATACATATGGCTCGGCAGGAGTCAAAGTCAATCCTTGCACATCCATCCAGTACAGCCTCCACTGCCACTGCCACTGCCTCACACTGCCTCTGCCACACACTGCTTCCTGAGCATGCCGATGTTGTCGATGATGTTGATGCCGCATCCGTTCCGACTCGACTTGGGTTTTGTAGTCAAGCTTCCAGCTTCCAGCTTCTGTTCTGTTTTCCCTTTTTTTTTTTGCACCGTTTTCTGTTGCCTCTGCTGCTGCTGCTGCTGATACCCTGCCAGCCGTGTCGAGTCTCAGGGTATGCACAAATGGAAGGGCTGCCAATGGATTGTCATCATTTATGGGCACTATGTGTGGCATATTGAGCCTTTATGCTTTCATCCAGTTCAACTTGTATCTAGTTTTATGGCTTGCATTAATATCTACCATTGATAATGGCTTGGACTGTCCTTTGGGTATTTTTTAGTCCGTACCTCAAGTCCTCTTTGACTATTCTAACTTGTTTTGGTTTTTGTTTTTTGCTGCTGCTGTTGCTGCTGCTGCTTTTTGTTTCTTCTCCTTGACGGCTTCAGTTTTTTGCGGGTATTTTTCTGTGATATTGAGCCCGGCTAGCACTCAAAGGAAAGCCAAAGCCAAAGCTAAAGCACCTCCCTGCCGCCCATATCTCTATCCGCATTCGCTTTCCCATTCTCTGCCACCGACCCTGACGTATTCGGTTTAGTGTGATTTGTATGCGTCCCGGCTGAAGCAGCCAACGATAGATGGATGGATGGATGGATGGATGGATGGACCCTCAGATGGACTTGCAGATGGCTGGAGAGTCATGTGGGGGGTGTGAAGTGGGCTGGGCTCGCATTGCTATTTCATGCTTAAAAGCAACTGGCCAACTCGCACCACTTGTGTCCGTCCATCCATCGCATCGAGTTGAAAGTGAAACGGCTCGCTTCCTGTCCCCCGTATTAGTCCCCAGCCTACAGCTTCAGTCCTGCTGGCAAGCAAAGAAGCAACCGGTGGAATAATAACTGAAGCAGCCATGAACATGGGGTACCTAAGAGGAATCGCAGGAACCGAAGCAATCGAACTGCGAAATGTAGTAATTTTTTATGTTTATATTTTAATTTGCATGGGGCAAAGGGGGAGGCATTTATGGAGCGATTTTCCTCTGGGTTTTCTCCTGATGAACTTACCTTTTGATTCTGATTTGTTTAAGCTGAAATATATTGGCATCCCAGCCTGTTTCTGTTTCTGTTTCTGCCTCTGTTCTGCAGCTTCCCTCCCTGGCGCTAAGTTAAGGCCCTGCCCCTTTAGCTTTTGTTCCTTTTGCCTGAGCTCTCTGCTCTCTGCTCCATCTCCATATCCATCTCCTGTCCTTGTGTGTTCCCTGTGTGTAAGCCCCATGGAGGTGCAACGTTGGTTGTTGCTGCATTCGCATCCGTAACATGGCGGCTTATGTGTTGCCGGTTGCCGGTTGCCGATTCCCCGGTTGCTGGTTGCTGGTTGTTGCTTGTTTGTTGTCTGCTTCTGCCCTGCACTGCCGCCTCGTTATGACTTTCTTTTTGTGCCTAGACCCTTACCCTTAACCCACTCCAGTTTCAGCTGCAGCCCCACATGGCCCGTCTCCCTCCCTCCCGCCTGCCCGCCTGCACTCTGCTCTCCTGTTGCCCAGGGTGACGTGAACTCTCAATATCGAGTGGATTTGCAAGTGTCATTTGTAGGCAGGTGATGGAGCTCAAAGCGGCGGCCATCCACAGTGATTTACATTCCGTAACGCATCGAAAGGGAACGGCAGAGGCCACAGCACAGCTCCAACGAATCGCTCGCAGTCGCTGGCAGCCCATTCACCCAAAGCAAAGACACAACTCACGTATCCTCGCCATTTATATTTAAACAATAAAACACAGAGGCACCAGCAATAGTCCAGACAATATTCAAACTAAACTTTAAAACAAAAAAAAACAAAAAAATGACTCAACGACTCAACGGCCTGCTGTCTGCTGCTCTGTCGCCTCCGTCTCCTCTTCAGGCTGTGCTGAGTTGTCTTTGGCCAAGACGATCTGTTCCTGCTGCAATTGTATGTCATCACCGGCTCCGATTTCCCGCTCGGCTGGCAAGGAAGGAGCCACGCGACTCGGCAACTTTTTAGCTTCTTCTGTGCAAAGGTTCAGCTCGGGCTCGCCGCTGGCTCCCGCGTCCAGCGTCTTCTCGTTGGCCTCCTCAGCACATGGCAAAGTACTTGCCTTGTTGGCTAACAATAATGATAGTCCCTTGTTCTTATTGCGGTTCCGCTTATTGGGCTTCTTCTTCTTGTTATCCACACTGGGAGGCTGCTGGCTTTGGCTTGGCGATTCCACGGCTTGAATGCCACTGAATGCTGTCCGTGGATCCTGTTCCTTGGTGCCCAATTCAGCATGCCCTGGAGCCAATTTCATGGGTTGCTCGGCCTTCCCAGTGCCAAGCTCTTCAGCTGCTTCAGAGCAGAGTATCCCGTCTCCTGTGGCCACAGTCTTGACATCCTCTGCCTCACTTTTCGGTGCATCTTCAGCTGTCGGGTCGGTGATCTGCTCGTTGCTCGGCTGCAGCCCCGAAGCCTCAGCTATATATCCCTTGTTCCTCTTGCGGTTTCGCTTTTTGGGCTGCTTCTTTCGGCTGTCGCCATTGGGGGCCTGCTTCTGTGGCTGCTCCGCTTTGGGGACCAACGGCTTGGAGCCACCCTCGCAGTTGCACTGCAGCTGCGGCTTGGCCGTAGCAGCTGCTGTTGCCAATTTCTGCTCCCTGCCAGACGCCGCCGCTGACTCTGCCAGGATGGTGTGCATCACCTCGCTGATGCGCCTGTCCGTCTCACTGCATGCCTTGGACTGCTGCGCCCTGAGCTCCTCCAGACAATCGACCAACTCCACACCGGGATCGGGCAGCATATCGATCGTCTGTGCCTCGGTGCCTTTGGGCAGCGCGTTGCTCATGCCGGCCATCAGCCGCTCCACCAGCTGCGGCGGCTGCACGCTGTTCCAGCAGTCCGAGTACGGCTTGATGGGGCCAATGTGGTAATTATCCTGGAAGAACTTCTTGCGGCACACGGGCATAAAGGACTTTTGGCCCTTGGGAAAGAGCTGCGTGAAGGGATCCTTGGGCTCGGGCACCTTCCGCAGCAGCTTGCGTTCCGTTTCGGTTCTCTTCGACCTCTTGCGGCGACCCTTGGCCGGACAAGCTTTGCGTTGTGGCACCTTTGCCACAGGCTTTTCCTGCACGCCCCCCTGCGGCACTGCCAGGATGTCCAGGAATCTCATTTGACGCTGTGAATCTGCGGCGAAAGCGAAGTTAAATTTGGACAGCGACCAGGGACCAGGGACCAGGGCCAGTACAAACCGTATAGAAGGGTGCGCTTCACGGCCGTCGAGAGGAGAGCCTCTCGCATGTCCATTTGGCGGAACATCCTATTTAATTTTTGGGCTGGTATCCCTTAAGCTTGAACTGCCAGCTCAACTCAACTCAAATCAATTTGTATCGCAATGCTGGCATGCATAAAATGCAAAGCCTACCAATGCCGGAACAGCAAAGACCCAACCCGATCTGGTCACACCTTTACTCGCTCTCTCTCGCTCTCTCTCTCTCTTTGACAGCCCTGACATTTCCTTCTGGTTCCTCTGAGGTTTGGTCTTTGAGCTTAAATAATTTTAGAAATTGATTTAATCTATTGAAGCACTCGGAGCGTCCCGCCTGGAGACCAAATCACAGCCCAGTGCTATGGCATCCATTTCCTTTTGGCATTTCCATTCCATTTCTGTTCGCACATCAAATTTACGTTTTTTGCATTTTCTTTTGCATTTTGTTGGACGAGTTTCTCTCACCATTGCCGTAAGCCTCCAGAGCCGTAGCCGTACCCGTAGCCGTGCATTGCATGCATATTTATAGTGCCGCTTGTTGACAAATATCGCGCCATGTTGACTGACTGACGACCAGCAGGTCGTTACACAGAATGTGCCACCGAAACTGGCACTGAAACTGGCACCGAACTGGGGAGGAGGCCAGGGGAAGCCTGGCAACGGAAGCTGCACTGATTAGAAACATAGTTGGGCTCCAATGAAGCTGTGCCGGCGAACCAAAAGCAAACAACAACAACACGACAGAAAAAAGCACTGATGGCATACAAAACAAAACAAAACAGAAAAGGCACGCCGCTGACCAGGCCCAGAGCCTGGCCCAGAATGGAGGTGCACAAAACTCGTACCCTAAGTGCCAGTGGCTGTGGAATTTCAAAGCAACTGAAGCTGCTGGAACGCAGAGAACGTAGGGTTGTATGTATAATTCTCAGTGCGCAAAGTTTAATGCATCCCGCGACCATTTTTAGAACTAGCAAAAGACACGTAAAATATATATATATTTTTTTTGTATTTAAAAAATAAACTTAAATAATAATTAAATGATTTTTCACTCAATCTGCAGCTGCAGCTGAAAGATTTTAAATTGCTGTGTTGTAGAGAGAAATGTGTGAACTTCTATTGGGTGTAAAATTGTTGAACACACAATGGCCCAGCCGAAAGATATATCCAGACAAACCTGAAGTTTGCTGCTAATTTAGTTTACGTTGCTTTGAAATTGAATACTTAATAATATATAATATATGTATAGCCTTTAGATAACTCAAAGTGTAGTGTACAATCCAGTCGCTGCTTTGGTTGGGCACACGGAATTGTAGTGGCTCTGCTGTGCTGAGTGCCCCACAGCAAATCCTGTGCCATGAATACAAAATGGTCTCGGACACGCTACGCTACGCCGATTTGTTAGTTTGTTTCGAATATATTTTAGTGATTGAAATATTAATGTGGGCTGGTGGTGGTGGGGGGTGTGCGAGTAGCAGAGAGAGAGAGACAGAGAGACAGCCAGCCAGTAGGCAGTAGGATCGATGGCAGCGCCGGCGCTACGCTTTGCTTTGTTCAGCAATTTGTGGCAACAATGGAGTTGCGTTCGCCCACAAAAGGCGGCACACAATAAAAGCCAGTGTATGGCCCCGGGCTAAGCCTCAGCGAGAACAGAGAATTTGTGAAAAGAAGAAGGAGCCGATACAACGGGAGGATACACATGTGTGGCCGTTGCCGGGGCTTTCACATTAGCAAATCTATTAGCATTTGGCTAAGCCGCACTTAGGCCTAATGTGGACGAGTGGAGTGGAGAGGAGAGGATGGGATAAGGATGCGCGCTAGACTGGCTGTCTCTCGGAAGGAGGGAGGGAAGGAAGGAAGGGCCAGGTCACTGTGGGACCATTCGACAGGCTAATCCTTTATCGCAGGCCGGCGATCGTGCAGGTCCTTTGTTTGGGTGCATGGATCGGCTGGCCATTGTGCAACCGACACTTGTCTTAATCCCCGCCCAGCAACCAAACAGCCCAAACACACAAAGCAACAAAAGCACACCCGGCCACAAAAGGTGCAGCCGGGAAGGGCAGGGCAGGGCAGGGCTGGGCAAGGCAAGGAACAACCTAACCTGTTCAGTCATACGATCCGAGACCGATCTATGAGCTGGCGGATCATGGCCTCCATCGATCGATAGCCCTTTGTTTTGGCTCTGCTTCTGTGGGCTCGCCCAATTGATCCACTCAAGATAAATTAAGGCCACAAAGTACCAGCGAGCGCATGTGTAAGCTTAGCCCCTGGGACTGGTCTCCGGCATCGACTAGGTAGCTGGCTCGCCTCAGACGGCATGTCTTCCGGTTGATTATCACCTAGCGATGGCGTTCAGAGCTGTATGCTCCTTGCGGGGCACATCTACGGGCTGGGATGAGGCGATATATACAGCACAAATTACAATACAGCAAAAGTTTATTACGAGAAATCCATGAAAATCAATGGAATGCGAGCCATAAAGAGAGCGAGCCAACAAACAACATTTCAGCAAGGGGGAATGGCAGGAATGGGGAGCAATGGGGAGCATTGGGAGTGGGATGCCATGAAATTGTATTGAAATGGATTGGACTGTTGGCTGTTTGTTGTTTTGGTTGTTGTTCCTTTTTGCCGAGGGCCGAGAGTGCAATTATTAAAATAATGTCCACAGCCCATTGAGTTCATAACGCGAATGAGGCCGCAATAAAATAAATAAATGAAGAGGAACTTGTCCTCAAATGAGGCATGCAAATGTCGCCCGACGAAAATAACAATGGTGGAGTCATAGCTGTAGTCTGGGGGGGGGAGCTCTCTCCCCCATCCACCAGCAGCAGCGTCAATGTCCATGTCCATGTCCGTGGCCTGAGCCTGTGCCCATCCTGCACCACTGAAATTTATTAAAAACAAAAGGCGGAAAAATGCTGAAACAAAAACAAATATCAAGGGGAGGCTTGGATGAGACTGGGCGACTGGCCCATGGGTGGATGGATTGCTTCATTTCGGCCATTGCCCACAGCTGTTGGCCCAATAGATTAAAGGGGCCAAAATTTGTATGTTTATTAAAGAAAAATCTTACCAAAAATCCACTCCACAGAGCAGATAATAAAAGATCGTAGAGGGAAGTATTTCACTTGAAATTCGAATAATTGTGAGTGCAAAAGTAGGGGCATAAAATTGCTTAAGTTAGGCAACATTTTGCAGTAAAAAATAAAAACATTTCTGACCAATATTCAGTCAAAGCATAAGCCCAGATATTGTTGGGAATATTTGAATGGAAATTTAAAAGCAACTAAAAATATTAATCCACACAAAATAAATCCAACAAATGCAAATAAAAATAGGGAAATAAAATTGGGGAATATTGAACTGCTATTTATTATGCTTAAATATGCTTCAGCTGAGAGGACAAGTAAAATGAAGAGGCATTGATTAACTGATGAACCCCGAGACTGCTTTTTAGCCAGACCTTTCACCAGCAACACTTTCCCACACCATTTATGCTCGCTTGACACTTTTGGCAATATATTTAGCAGGGTCTGTCAGTGCAGAGCTGTGACTGTGACCCCAGACCTAACCCGTGGCAAGTAGGCAAAAAATGTGGCACAACTTCGTGGTGGAGGGGGTGGGGGGGGGCACACAAAGAGTTCGAGAAGTTCAAGTGTATAATTTCGTTACAATTGGGACAGTTTTAGTGCTTCGCGCCGGAACAACATGAGCGTCGGTGGTTGGTGGTTGATGGTTGATGGTTGGTGCTCCTGTTCCAGTCTTCGTTGCACTAGCAGTTACAGTTACAGTTACAGTATCATTGGTGCACTCCACCCTATGCCACAACCTTCCACCTTCCACCGAAAACATGAGCGGACTGAGTGTGGGGGGGGGGGGCCGCTTAAATGCGGTTTCATGTTACACATGTGCGTCTAATTAGCGACTGTTTAACGATAACAAGCGACGGCTGTGGGTACTGTAACTAATATGCCAGAAAATTAGACTTGCAGGGCACACACACACAGGACACAGAGGACACAGCACTGAGTTGTCCCTCTGTTAACGAGCATGAAATTATTATCGAAATGCAATTAATGAGTGTGACAAGAGACAAGCGGCAACACGGCCTCTGCCTCTGCCTCTGCCCTGCGCAGAAGAACTCACTCGGACACAGGATGTTGCACTTCGACACTTGTCCGCACTTAGAGGATCAACGCAGGTCACCCCAAGCCAAGCCAACCCATTCCATCTCCTGTCTACCCAGTCTACCATCCTGTCTTGGTGCTATCTATGCTGCAAGCTGACACTCTCCATGCAGGTTTCTTAGACACTCTTTTCACACGAATTCCGGCGCCAGGCGACAATCTCTCGCCTCAAGTGCACCCAGCACCCAGCAACCTGCACCCTGCACCCTGCACACTACACACTTCCGTCTCTGAGGCAACGCGTCTCCCAAATCTCAATCCTCCAGAGAGTACTCGTCGTCGCTGTGTCCCTGCAACCTGCAGCAGCTGTGCCGCTTTGCATATCATGTGTGGGAAGCATTAGGAGCTCTCTCTCTCTCTGTCCCTGTCTCTTTGGGTGTCTTGGGGGATGTGTGTGGCCTCAGCAGGGTTCAAAAAATCGGATTTGGAGCTTTAGGCGTTAATAATTTGGACCCCGACCGACCGCTGCTGATAAGTGAAATGGCAGCCGCTTTCCGTTTCATCCGGACAGCCTCGAGTGACCCCTTCCATGCGACATACTCTCTGCCACGTTGGAGTTCCTCCCTGTAGTTCTGCAAGTTGCAAAACTGAAAGTTGTGGTAAGCTTCTTCCATAAAATCTTCGTGCTAAATGGGCGCTTTTTGTGCATTTCTTTCGGCATCAGCTCCAACTTTTACCATGCCAAAGATTGACTTTAAAAAATGTTTCCTTATTTTATTTTATTTTATGTATTTCCCTTTTCCGTAGGGTATTTCCTATGCTGTGTGGCTTAGCTTTAAATTTTCTTTGCCTGCCCCCAAACATTTTTTTTTTTTTTTCGACTTGCTATTGTTTTGTGCAAATTTAGTTACCCCCAAGGGTTGGGGGGGATTTTGTAGGTTTCGGGTATTCGGGTTCTACATCGATGCCCACTTTGTTTTAATGCGCGCTG